CAAGGAGGACGCATGCCCTCAGGATTGTGCCCTTCCCCTTGGTGTTATCCAGGCTCATGTCTGGCTGGAGATTTGGCATCCATGCCGTTATCTCAGCTAGCACTTCTAGGAGCTCTTGCTGTCCACGTGATGTCACGTTTCCAGCCATTTCCATTCCCATCAGCCACTTCTTAGATAGAGAACACAGCATCAAATTCTGCAGAGGAGCAGGCAGAAGAATGTGATGGACCCCCCCTTGGTTGGGCACACACCCAGACATGCATGGACACACTTACAGAGAAGAGCTGGGATGCAGATGGAATTCCCTCCTTCCCATAGCTGCTCCATCTATGCCCTGGGTAATGCAGCCAGCATTTGGACAGTAGCAACAAAGTGGACAAATTCCACAGGTTGGGCAGGTATTACAGCTGTTCTGATATGCAGCACTCCACAAAAGCAGGCAAGGACTATGAGCTAAAAAGGTGGTTTTTACCCTGAGCTTCAATCATCATTTTCACCCTGCATGAAATCAGAAAGGAGTTCAGGATTTAAGTCGGGGAATTTAACAGCTTGCAGATGACAGACTTCTCAAATGCTTTAAATGAATCTCTGAATGAACAGTCCTTCTATGTCCTTCAACTAAAGTTGCCCTTATATTTTACTTATACTGCTGCAAAAATATCTACATCCATATATTTTAAGTTCCAAATCTCTATTTATTATTCAAAATGAGAAATACAGCAAATGGAAAACATGGTTTAAGTTACTGCTTTTTTCCTATGTGCAAGCCATTTCCTTCACTTTGAAAGAAGTCTTTATATATCCTTAAGGAAAGCCATCTTTCCCTGGAAGAGCACAAAATATGTACCAGACAGGGGAAAAAAAAGAATTAAAAAAACACATTTTTTTTTCCCTGGGGTGAAAAACCTGTTTGAGAATGGGCTCTGCATTCTGAGCTGGTAACTCACCTACAAAAGCAACGTCTGAAGGGATTGAGACAATACTACACAGTGCCTGGCATCACCTGACCCAAAGCTGCCTCAATTTCCCCAAGTAATAACACCCTTTCAGTGGGCTTCACTTGGATAAAATTTCTAGCAATCCCCACAGATATTGTGATGCTCTAGCCTGATGGTCTAGCCTGTTCTCCTTCGTGCAAGGGTGCCAAACTGCTCAGCTTTGCTGTTCAGTGGCCATGGCATGATGGAAAGCCACTTCTACCCCAGTTCTCTGGGGTGTGCTCTGTCCGAGAGGATGGCTGGTGAAGCAACAGTGACAGCTTTCACAAACAAGCTGGACCCTCCAGCCCAGGCTTTACAGATTGCTATAAAACAGCTGAAGAAGGGACACACTTGGATGGTTTAATTCAGACACAAAGGGGATGAAAGTACTTGGTTCAATGCTTTGTTGGCAGGGAAGTCGTATGGAGAGAGCTGCTTGTCTCATCTCCTGCATTCAACTCTTGGATCCATCAGTCCCTGAGGAAGAATCCACCTCTTGAACCTGCACTGACAAGCCATGCCATACAATAATTTCTTTTGAATCCTCTACCAAGTCACTATGGTTCAGAGCAAAATATATAATTTATAGATGCACAATTGCAGCAAATAACCTGTATTAACTCACAATAATGGGATTAAGTCCATGTATCCAAATGTTCAGTTTAGTCCATAGCACTCAGCGTCCTTATTTGGCCTATCTTAAACTAGTAACTCATCTTGGAGCAAAACACATCCAAGAGCTCTAAAAGAACACAGTGTGCATGTGAGACAGCTGCCTTTGCCCATTGAAAAGACAGACAAAATTAGTTCTCATTTTACAACACAGTCCCTATTGCAACCAACAAATGAGATGTTTCTGCAGTCTGTTTTCCCCAGAAGCAGATAGCTTTGATTATACAAGACATGCCTGCATGGATCTGGTTCCCCATAGCCTGCCAAAACCTTTGACTACTCATGCCCAGTATGCGAGACTCAGCTGCTCCGGGGTGCAAATTCTCCCTTCCCATGCGAGAGCAGGAGTATGTCACTCTCCTTCACACAGGCTGCAAAGAGGAGCACAAGGTGCCAACCAGTACCAAGTAACTCCGCTCACCCACGTCTTTACTGAATATTTTAGTTATAGCACTGTTTGAGTCACATATTAAAACATGTATTAAACAGCTTACTTAATCAATGTATGCTCACACAGTTACTTTACAGAAGCAAGGAGCAAAGGGAACATGAACCTCCACCAGAGTTGTATCTGTGTAATGTGCAAGCTACAGCTCCACCACTGCTGCATCCTGAGCTCAGAGGCAGCAGGGCCCAAAGTGTGGAGTGCTGGTCCCAGCACTGGGAATTAGGTCTCTGTGTCAGGTGACTGCTCCATAGCTGGAGTTGGTCTCGCCTTCTGTAAAATGGGAAGAATCCTCTCCATTTGGTAGAGCTTGCTGAGTGCTATAGATGAAAACCACTCTGTAAATTTGAAGTATTTTGACAGTTACTCCCCAAAGTCATAGGAAAAGGTCATGTTTAAAAAGGTAAGGAGAGATCCCCTGGCACTGTATCATCTCCAAATACAACTGTACCTCTTGAACAGGGGTGTTTCTCTCATTCCCTTCTCTCATTCCCTTCTATCATTTGCAAGTAGACTTGCAAACTACTGAACCAGCATATCATTAAGCACACATAATCACTGGGGTTGTGGGTCACTGCACAATGTATGCACATTTCTTTAAACCACTTTCAATTCATTTGCATGTCATTTTCTGTGCAGAAACTGGATCCTGAAATGAGCAAGTTATCTGGACACAATACACCCCCATGAATAAACAATGTGAGCAGCAGAACCTCTGTAGCACGCTGCCTTCTGAGCACCCGAGACCAGGAATACAATGTATCAGTGAAATAAATACCTAGATAAAAGATGGATGCAGGGAACTAAAGCAGAGCCAGTCCATAGCCTAGGAAAGGACGCTTAGGATTTTTTTCATAGCAACGTAATTCCTCTAGTTCTTTGATTTAATAAAATGAATACAGTACTGGTTACAAGTGATTGACTGACAGCTCTGAAGATTGAGCAGCTCTATTTTACAACACTGAGTAGCACTGATCCTCCTTCTAAGTCAATAAAAAGATTCCCTAAAATCACTTGTCTGTAAGTTATCAAAAACAGTACAAAAGTCCATGAAAGTTGACGGAATTCTTAAAATTCACTGATTATTCACAGGCATTTACTGAGTCCAAGGAAGCAGAATTGGACCTGTGTAGCTGGGAGCACTGGGGTATGACCAATAGAAAGCCTTCCCAACCACATCCTGCTGGAAGTCACTAAAGCTTTCACGAGACAAAGCATCTTGAAATCTAGCTAACAGATCTACACTTCCCAGCCCTTTTAATCCTTAGGAGATTGCATTTAATGGCAGATTAAGATGGAGAGGAAAGAGGAATATAAAAATTACATCAGTAAGACTCCTAGTTCCCATTCTTGATCCTGCAAAGAGTGATTCCTGAGACAAAATGCCAACATTTTTTGAGCAAGAGCTGTGTTCTGCTCTTGGCTCAGAGATTAACGAATACAGAGGACAGTCCAGCAAGCCACCACTCATCAGAACTTGAGTAGGAAAAAAATGATAGGCAACTTTTCCCCTTTGAATATTTCAAGTCACACTATATTTTAAGTATTTTACAGTCTCTTGTGATACCTGCTTTCAAGCAGGCCATTAAAGAAACAGGTTTGCATAGCACTGAGTCCCATGCATTGAGTCTTCAAACATTCTTGTAACTAAGTATGGTCCACTCCCCACAGCCTGTGAATCTGGAGTGCTGACAGCAATCCAGAGTAAATATTCTTTCCCATTTGTTTGACAACAGTGCTGACAGAAGTGGCCTTTTATGGTGAGAGGCTTTGTCCCATTCCCTTCCCTTGCTCAGATGAGTCCCGCTCATGTACATCAGTCTATAGACAAGAAGAACAGCCTTAGCCCCTGACACTTGGTGGAGACCTCAGCTGTGGAGAAGGGGCTTCATGAAGAGACTGATCAACAAACATAATACTATTGTTTATGGAAAACATGGGAGGCTTACACAGGTTGATGGTACATCCTGAATGGCTAAGTGAATAAGTATCCCCCTTTTTTAACCATTATTCTGAAGAACATCTGAGAAAATGATATCTTCACCGCAGCTTCTCAAACCAATCTCTGTTTTCTTACCTTTATGGTGACTTATAGCAGTAAAAAAAAAAATAAAGCAAGACATAAATCATAATTCCACTCAGAAATTATGGAGGGCCTGTTCTTGCCAGGTGCTGAGTTCTCACGCCTACCAAGGACAGCTGAGAGCCCAAAGCAATGCTCAGAACTGAAACTGGGGGTGGTGGGACTTCATCGTGGGAATGTGAGCACTAGGGTGTACACTAGGGTGAAGTTCTTCATAAGGAACCAAGACTGAGCACACACAAGGATAAAAGTATAAGAAGAAAGAAGACAAAAAAGGACTACCCTAAAGAGCAATTCTAGGTCCTCACAAACTCAGTATCAGGTGTAACCGTCATGCAGCTGCCATCAAGAAAGCTTTCTAATGAAATTCCCTGTACAACTCTGCTCTTGAAGTAGCACTTGATGGATTTAGTAATCAAATGGCCACGATTTTAACTGATCCTCAGTTTATCGATTTCCTTGTCTCCATGCAGAAAATGAGAGACTATTTAAAAAACTTATCTACGAGGAAGTGGAAAAATACAATTCTGGGTGAACCTTCAACAGATGAAACCGCTGGGCCAGTCGTGCCAAGAGGACCCTCTGTGCTCATCCTTCCCACAGTCGTGAAGGGATGCTGGCAGCAGGTCACTGCCCTCCCATCCCATCAGACCAGGGGAGGAGATCTGCCAGGACCCAGGCCAAAGTTCAGCTCGGAGCAAGCCTCGTCCCCAGCCGGTAGCCGGCGATGCCGGGAGCGCCCCGGGGCAGCCATCCCGGCAGATCCAGGGCTGCCCTCCCCGCGAAGCGGGTTCCCACGGCCCCGGCCCGCCGTACTCACCCGGTCTCCTCCTCACCGGCCTTTTCCTGCCGCTGCAGAAGCGCACTTTGCTGAAGACCCCCAGGACATGCCTCTCGCACAGGGAGCGCCCGTCCTTGCTGGGGCTGGAGCGGCGCTTGGAGGCGGACACCCGGTCGCTGTTGGACTCCCTCGCTTGCCGCTTCTGCCGGATCAGCGAGCTGGCGATAGCCGCTGCCATCGCCGCTCATGGGCCCCCCGCGCCGCTCCGCTCCGGGATGCGCCGCCCGGGCGCGCTGGGGCCGAGCCGCCGCCGCGCCCCGCGGGGACCGGGGACGGGAACGACCCGCTGAACGCGCTGCAGCCCCGAGTCCCGGCGCCGGGGAGGGCTCAGCCGGCCAGGCGGAGCAGGGCGCCCGGGCTAACAACCATGGCTGGACGCCGGACCCCGCCGCCCATGGGTCTGTCCCCGGGGAGCGCAAATCCCGGCGCGGGCGGCCGTCGGCGAGACCCCCGGCCGGGCTGGCAGCGCCGCGTAGATCCGGGAGCGGCCGCCCCGCTGGCGAAGGTCCGCTGTGTCCAAAGGATAGGGGGACGCGGAGGATCCGCGGGTCCCTGCGGCGCGGTGCCGCTCCGCTCCGCCCGGGCGCAGGCGGCGGCGCTTCCTCCCTCCGGCCGCTCTCCGGCGAGGGGCTGTGGGATGAGTCAGAGACCCCTCGGCCCGCGGGCAGCCCCGGCCCCGGCGCGGTGGCTCCGAGGCGCTGCGCGGCAGGGCGCGCACATGGACGCGGCTCCGCGGCCGGGCTCAGGGAGAGCCGCGCTGCATTTCTGTTCGCACTCCTCCTCTTTCTCCTCTCCCCCCCTACCCACTCTGCTCTCAGAGAGGGCGGGAGGGGAAGGAAAAAGCAGCCACGGGAAAAAGCAGCAGACGAACAAACAAATTAAAAAGAACGGGGAAAAAATGAAATTTAAAAAAAAAAAAAAAAATAAGCGGCCGGCCGCGAGTGCGGGCTCACATCGCCGCAGCTCGGCGCCCCGGGCTCACAGCGCCATGGCTGGCGTAGCTTCTCCTGCCCTGCTCACCGCCTCTGCCCCGGCACCGGCTCTCCCCGACGGCAGCAACCCACATCGTCCGGCCGACCGGGCGGCCGCCGAGCACTCGGCACCGGGGCGGCCCCGGGCCCGGCTGCCGCGGCGGGGACGGCGGCGGGAGGAGCGATGCAAGGCGGGGAGGAGGTGGAGGAGGAGAAGGGCGGGGGGGTGCGGCTGCCACTGCTGCTGCTGCTCCGTGCGGGGCTCAGGATGCTCCGCGGTGCCGCCCGACGGCGGCGGGGCGAGGAGGAGCCGAGCCGCGCCCGCTTCCCGCCTGCATCCTCCTGCCCGAGCCGGGAGGGGGGAGGCGAGGAGAGGAGGGGGGAGGAGAGGGGAGGGAGGGGCCGGGGAAGCCCCCCCGGACGCCCACGCTGCTCGGGGCTGTTGCCAAGGCGGCGGGGAGCCCCGCAGCCCCGCGGCGGCCGGGCAGGAGCCCGGCTCCGGGCTTCGGGCTCAGAGAGAATTGCAGCTGCTCCCGCTCGCCCTCTTCTACGCAATCCTACGTGATCGAGGTTTGGATGAGAAATATCGCGCAGGCAAAGCGAGGCAATTGCAGCTCCGCGGCGGCTCTGCCCCTCCGCCCGGGCAGACCCGCCGCCGGCAGCCGGGCTTCCCCGGGACCGCAACCCTCCCGGCAGAGCCGCCTGTCAGTCGTGCAGCCACCCCGGCTGCCTCTCTGGCCACCGCTGTCGACACCCGAGCATCCAGCCTTGGCAGTCGAGCGTGTCCGTGGCTTTCCCTGTTTCTCCATGGAAGCAGAGAGACGGGACAACCCCGGCATCCCGAGGGCTGCTCTGCCGGGGGCCGGTGCCTTGGCCGGGGAGCGTCCGGGCGGCTCCAGCGGCGGTGGGCACTGCTGGGCTGCCCCCGGCCGCAGCTGTCCCACGACACACCGCCATCAGCAGGTGCTGGGCCGGCTCCCGCATATCTCCAGCCACAAAACCGCACCGAAAAAAACTGAAGGTGGAGATACATCTCTGGTTATCCAGAGAAGTAACTGCCGCTGCACAAGGATGGTGCTCGCCAGATTTCACGTTCAAGTAACAGTTAGTGATGGTAGCTACCAGGTTATTTAGGTGACGAGCAAAATACCTAGGGGAACGTACAGGCGTCGGGGTGGAGGGAGAGGGGATCTCGGCTGAGAAGACACTGCTACACTTTGGCGAGTAACAATGACAGGATGGGGTTAAGCCAGTCCTGAAGCTGTACGGGTGATGCATGTTTCTGGCTGATGAGCATTTTAGACCAGTTGGTGACATGCCCTAGGAATTTCCAGATTTAGCAAAACAATATTTTTGACTACTTCACTTCTAAGTTCTAAAAATTTTCTAAATTCTTCACCTCTAGACTTCAGCTCTAAATTATTTTAATGTATTGGGGGGAAAAGACAACTGAAACACCACCCACTATGTCCATAATGATTAACTAAACTCTGGCATTACTTCCTGATTTTTACTCTTAGTCTCTATGCATACCAAAACAAGGTGGAATCAGGTTCTCCAGGCTGTTTATCTCTTTTTAACTACTGCCAACTTTTTTTTTGAGCAGATTTCACCATCCCAATCAATAAAGTTTTTTCTTCCCTTTCCTGTAGCTAAAATGCTTCAGATTTTAATTTTCTCTATCGGATTATTTCACTTGACATCAAAGAATTATTGCAGTACAAGGTACAGGCATGGCCTAAAGAAAGCTGTTTGCAATCAGAGAATCACTGTCTGAAATGCCAGTGAATTATCCAAAGCTTCATCTTCAAAGGATGTGAGCATATCTTCATATCATCTCAAGAAAGAGATTTTCCATCTATATATAATGATACTTTTTTTGCCTGTAGTCTTCAAGGCTGGTGAAAAAATGCCAGTTTATCCACCCCACATTAGATAAGTTCCAGTTATTTTGATGTGCGACTAATTTGTTTTGTTGTGTAGCTGTAAACTGGTAGCAGCAGCTCTGCACTTAAAAATTATCCCAATCAGTGATAAAGTCCGTCACAGTATTTTTTTTTCCTGATGATTTGTGGATCTGAAAAGAGAGTTGCTGCAACTCTTAGGAAGAAAGGCTTCTCCCAGGTCTTTCTTGCTTCTGCAGTGAGTGAATTAAATTAAGCCAAAGCTTGTGAAACTGAATGTAGTGTTGCATTTGCCAACATGCAGGTCTGCCTTTTTCTATAGATGGCCAAGGAGTCCACAGGGTTTGGTTCTGAGCACAGGCACGGTGCCATGAGCTCCTGGTGACATTACTGACACGTACATCTGCACAGGTCAAATCATGCCCCAACTTCACAAAACTTTCTAAAGAGCCCGAGCTTTTATAAACACCAAGGCAGCCCAGAGTGGTCTTGAGCTGGAGAATGGAAGGCCAGTCTCATCATGCTCCTGCACTGTCACTGTCACCAGTGAAACATTACCTTTGGTGGGCTGCCAAGTGAAACAGGAAAGCCACTATGTGCTTTCATCTCTAACAGTGAAAGTTCTCTCCTTCAACTTCCATTTGGGTAAAGAGGGCTCAAAACATCTTCCATTTTAATCTGTATTAGCTGCTCCTCTTTGAGGGTTGTGCAGCCTACACTGTTCCAAACCAACTAGCCCCTCTTAGATTCACAAGCTGTCTTCCTCCTTACTACCAATGGAAGCTGAATTGTTTGAGCAAACTGGGCCAATATGGCATTTTTCCTTAAGGAAAATATTTTTAAAACTTATTTTTGTATAAAATAATATCTATATTGTATAGTTATTATGGCAATTTTTCTGGCATGCCCCTTCTCTCTGGGCTTCCTTCTCACTTCAGTACCAGTCTGCAAAGCTGCACAGTGCATCCTATGAAAAATGGAATGCAAGAGTAGCACCAATTCATAAAATAACCAAGACAGACTGTTTTGATGACATTGGAGAGATATGCCAGTGCTCCTCCTGCAGTTTGTGGAGAAAGACCCCATCTGGCACAGAGGAACGGGCAGAGAGTCAGACCCCATGTGGCTGGTTGAAGGATCAGACTCACTGTGCTCACTAAACATCCCCACCCCAAACATATAGGAGCCTCTGCATGACCAATATCAATATATCAAGACACTACCATTTTTGAGATTTTACTCTCTTGATAAATAAACTCTTCTGTCCTTAGTGCTGAGGTTTAAAATGAAGGCCTGGCTGAATTTCAGGGCTTTGGTGACTTGAGCAGAGAAGAGATCTAGAATTGCATTCCCTTACCTTCCTAAACAGAATGATCTATCTAGGTCAAAACGGAGGTTATTGGCATCTTTCCTGAGTGAAGTGCAATAATTCCCGCAGGGCTGCTAACAGAATATCCTGTTTATTTTTCATAGAGCCTTCAAAAGCCATGGGCTGTGTTCTGTAGATTCAGTCATTAGTCATTCTGCTTTACTAATTCTGTATATATAGAGCTAACTACAGATACAAACATATGCAGGTTTTTTGCTATTTTATCTGCAGAGCTACTGAAAATGCATACATGAAAATTAAGGAAGAGATTTACATTTAATACCACTTTAAAATGTGTGTGCACGTTGCTGTAGTTGAATGGGAAAAAAGGAAAGACTCCCATCTCTGGCCAATAATTATGAATGGCCTAATTCACCATTTTACAGCAGCATAGCAACAAATCTCTTCCAATAGGAAGGCACTGTTGAGTTTGAAAGTCTGCATGCAGACACCTCTTAAAAATTGTACCAAATTTCCACACTGTGTAAATTACATCTAAAATGTGCATTGCCAGAGCTGCTTATTAAGCAGAATTAAGCCCATATCCATGTTTTATTAACTTTATTCTTTACAAGGTAGCCCCTTGTTGCATGTCTAGCATAATTAAAATTCATGCAGCTTTGGCATTCCCCAGTCTCTCTGCATGGGCAGACTTTTTGAAAAAAACCATGCCTGGGTAACCCGATAAAGAAAAGACAAGACCTTACTGCATTTTGCTCAGTTTCTGTGCAGGGTAATTCTGTTTACAATGCATGAGTTTGTATCTATGTTTGGATGCCTAATAAGAATTCACATGGCCACTTTAAATATGCTATTCAGGGAGAGAGATCTGTCCCTTAAACAGCAGCAGAGTACAAGAGCTGGCCAGCTTTCTGGGCTGTTCTCGCACAGCTGAGCTTAGAGCTGACTTGGCCTTTTAATAAACACAAAAAAGCCTGCATCACCTGATTGCTATATTGAAATAA